ACATGGGTGGCAGGAGCCCAATTACTTGAGCCATCCGCTGCTGAAACTGGAATGGACAACGGGCTATGACTTGAACACAGGCATTCTGATATAGGATGTGGGCATCCTACGTGGTGACCTGACCTCTGTGCCAAATGCCTGCCTGTGAAAACATCTAGTTTTGATAGAAATATGTAATTGGTTGACAGTCTCCATCTACCAGTATTAACATTTCCAAAGTCTATGAAAATGTGATTCAATTTTCCGCTGAAGGCGTTAGAAGAGAACTGTTGTTATGGCCCTTTATTAATTTAATTTTTGGCTTGGATACTATATTTTATGCTAAGGTCAAACATTAGCTACCCCACTTAAACCTATGGTGGATTCCAAAGGGTTGTTTTTAAAAGATTTCCTTTAAAGTGCCAGGATGCATTTGCTTAGTGAAGTGCATTGGTAGATTTGAAAGAATAGGGGCAAAAGCAAAACTGATGGGCATACTTGTCTTTCTGGAAGGCACTATGTTTCCAGTCAGTCACTTGGTGGGGTTTTTTAAAATCATATTGAGTGTCAAGCTGTGCTCTGATAGTGTTGGAAGGAATAATAAACTAGGTCTCAGAAATCTGTTTATCTTGGCTTCATTCCAGGAAGATGAGAGCGCTAGAATTAAGTGTTTACTGGAAAAAATAACACCTGTGTTAAACCAGGTGATTACAGAAGGAACAAAAAAAGGGGGGGGGGAGGATCAACACCCCTGACTTCTAATTGGTTTAGCCCAGAGTACTGAGTTGGTGGGCACTTTCCACAACCAGTAACAACTCCACTTTGCTTGTATCATTGTATAAATCAGTTCTGAAAGCAGGCTTTGCCAGAGGTATTTGACACTGTGACATTCGAATGAATTTTCTGGAATAAAAAGTGAGCATTGAGGATTACGCACAGGGAATATGGGAATAGAAACCTCACTGCTAAGCTGTCTCTGCTGTTCTTTAGCTGTGTGGTTTGGGGCAAATCGCTTCCCTCTCTGCCTTGGATTGCTTTTCTGCAGGCAGAGAGTGCCAGGGTCTGTCTTACCAGTTGAAGTAATGCAGGCACAAGCTATGACTTGTGTGTGTGTAAAGACGTGACCTGTCTTAGCCGTGAAGGGACATGTAAGAGATAAAACAAGCAAAACTCATTTTAGAAGGAAAAGTTGCCTGGAAGTTTTGAACATTGGGCTCTAATTGGTGAATGGTTTTTCCCCACTAGAAACCTTTTATTTAAGGAATACAAATTTCATGCATTTCATAGCTATAACTTGAGGAACACAGTGATTCTTCCCACTGTACCCGCCTTCCCGCCCCTACTCCCACCCCTCTTCCTCCTCCCTCTCCTATTCCCATTCTTATTTTTACCAAGATCTATTCTCAATTAACTTTATACACATACAATTAATTCTACACTAAGTAAAGAGTTTAAAAAATAGTATGAAAAAACACTACTACTCAACAGTCAAGACAAGGGCTGTTCATAGTCATTGCATCTCAAAGTATCAGTTTCACTGGTGAATACTTAATACCTGATTTGGTCAGGAAAACATTGGCCAAGGATGAATCAACTTTAAATAATCAGTTTTACCTGGTGGCAAAAGGATAGCTGCTCTACTTAAAGAGATATAGTGAGCGGCATATGACTTCTTAATAACTAACATAAATACTTCTAAAAATAATTGAGTGGTTGGAGCTGGCATTGTGTGATATAACAGGTTAACCTGTGGTGCTGGCATCCCAAATGGGTGCCAGTTTGAGTCGTGGCTGCTAATTTCCAATCCAGCTCCCTGCGAATGTACCTGGGAGAGCAGCAGAAGATGGCCCAAGTGCTTGGGCCCCTGCACTCACGTGAGAGACCTGGAGGAAGCTCCTGGTTCTTGGCTTTGAATCAGCCCGGCTCCTGTCATTGCTGTCATTTGGGGAGTGAACCAGCAGATGGAAGATCTCTGTTTCTCTGTCTCTCCCTCTCTCTCACTCTGTAACTCTGCCTTTAAATAAATAAATAAATACATCTTTTAAAAAATTGAATGGAAAAGCTCAACATCAAAAAATCCTTCCTGTGCATATAAATAAGTGCAGGCAATAGGGGAGGGTGACATTATTCCTACTTGTATAAAGAACTGTTTAGGCCGGCACCGCGGCTCACTAGGCTAATCCTCCGCCTAGCGGCGCCGGCACACCGGGTTCTAGTCCCGGTTGGGGCGCCGGATTCTGTCCCGGTTGCCCCTCTTCCAGGCCAGCTTTCTGCTGTGGCCAGGGAGTGCAGTGGAGGATGGCCCAGGTGCTTGGGCCCTGCACCCCATGGGAGACCAGGAAAAGCACCTGGCTCCTGGCTCCTGGCTCCTGGCTCCTGCCATCGGATCAGCACGGTGCGCCGGCCGCAGCGTGCCGGCCGCGGCGGTCATTGGAGGGTGAACCAACGGCAAAGGAAGCCCTTTCTCTCTGTCTCTCTCTCTCACTGTCCACTCTGCCTGTCAAAAAATAAAAAATTAAAAAAAAAACTGTTTAGTTTTTTGTTGCATTAGTCTCATAGTATCTTACTGGAAAGGTGTTCCAGTGTCCTAATGGTCATTCAGGGCCTGAACTTGCCATGATGGTAACTTTTTGGATAATTCATAAATACTGCAATTTTTTCTTCTCTAGAAGAATGGCATTTCTCCACCCCCTATCGAGCTAGGCAAGTCAGCCATGGCTGCAGGATTCTATGCGTCAAATGCAATGGGAGGAGCAGCAATTAGACTCTCCTCTCATTTCCTCCACGCGGTCTCCCAGGAAGCACACGCGGAAACGGAATCTCCGTCAGCCAGTTCTGCCAGATGGTGTGGGACTTGAGTGTGAACGAGAAAAACAGAGTGTTACTCCCCAGAGGACCTGGGGCTTGTTCACAAAAGCAGAGGCTGGCCTTGTGGTGACTAACCTAGGCAGCCATAGGGCCAGCTATCTATTTGTGGAGCCAGAAGTAGCCAGGTGGCACAACTCGACAGCTTCGCAGCCTGAGGCTCACAAGGAATGATTCTTCAAAGGCAGAAAGCAGCCCCCCCACAAAACCCGACCCAGCAGGAACCCCTCAGAGGCTGTGTCCTGAGAGGTTGCCTGTTGGTAGCAGGATCAGCCAGCGTCCTGGCTCTGGCCCAGCCTGGGGAGGGATCCACGCGCGTTCTCTGCTGTAATCTACGATTCAGACACGGCCATGGTCAGAATGGGCTCTTTCAGGACGGCTTCCCACATCACCCTCCCTTGCCAACTCCCTCCTTGCCTCTCTACTTCCTTCCCAAACAACATTAAACAATTAAGTGCCTACTGTGTGCCAGGCCCTGGGCAGTTTCTAGAAGTGCAAGCCAAAATTCTGTGATCTGGGGGGACCGGAGGAGCTTCTATGGAGTTGATGGCCGTCTAACCTCTCTGAACAAATTATCTGAATTAGCGGTGGATGGTTGGGGCAGCACAAAGCTCTAAACAAGCGCCAAGCATTTGGACTCTGCTCGTTATAGAAAGTAGTAAAGTTACACTTGAGATAAGTACAAAATCATAACAGGCTGGCTCAGAAATGACCGTCATCATAAGAGGATCAGCCTTGAACTTCATACAGGTCTTTGGTCAAAATTAATCCAAACAACACATAAACATCTTAGTAAAGCTAGCTGAAGTTCACAGTAGTCTTCCAAAATGTTGTTAAGTCTTAACTTTGGGAAGCTCATGAGTAGGTAGAGACTGTTATTTTGGAATGAAATGAAAAGACTTTTTAAATATGTCGAGTATTTGAGGAACGCGTGAGAGATGCCAGTTCAATTCTGTTAGGCCAGGATGCAGCTCTTTCCAATTCACATGACCTTCTCACTGTTGGACCGATCAATCACAGCTGCAAACAACAGCAGTTGGAAGTCATCACAAAGAGACATAAACATTGTCAAGTGACTTGGGTTGTAGCCAGGACCTGATAAGGCTAGAAAACATTTTCTCAAAGATTGTTCTTTTAAAAGCCATAAAGTGTGACTGATTACAGGAACTGATCACTTTAATTTTAATTAAGTTTTGTTAGTCCCAAGTGGAATCGCAATGAACGTGACGGACAAATCCGCGATGTGTCTTTTAGTTCAGTTATTTTTTATTCAGCAATGTATACATTTTTTAAAAAACATAAAATCATCCACCAAACAAAGCAAACATCAAACATGCCTTAAAGCAAATCAAATACAGCTAAGCCTTCCTATTAGCAGATATATGAATATATTTAATTTAAAAAGTTTACTTGAGAGCCAGAGAGAAAATGTAGAGAGGGACAGATACAGGGAGAGGGACTGAGGGAGGCAAAGAGAGAGAGGGGAAAACAAAAAGAGAAGGGGGAAGAGTGAGAGCAAACTCTCATTTGCCGGCTCTCTCTCCAAATGCCTACATTGACTATGGCAATGAACACAATCCAGGTCTCTCACACGGGCAGCAGGAACCCAATACTTATGCCATCACCGGTGCCTCCCAGGGTCTGCATTAGCAGAGAGCTGGAGTCAGAAGCCAGAGGTGGGAACTGAACCCAGGTACTCTGTTGTGGGACATGGGTGTGTTACCTGCTAATCTTAACACTGCTCCCATATTCCGCTACTCTGGGCAGCTAGGGGTCACAGGAACTCACAGACTTACAACACATGCACATTCAGAGATCCTAAGTGCCTTTGTAGACAGTATCTTTTTTTGGAAATAAAGAATTCTGAGTCAGAAAACTGTGAGTGGCTTGAAGAACACAGCTTACTAAATTAGTCTCTGTTCTTACAAACTAGAATAAGCTCATCCTTTGGGAGTTGGGAAAAATATACATCTATATCTATATATCTATATCTATATACTCTACACTCCAGTTGGTTGCCCGGGCTAGTTTCCATCATCAGTGAGACTGTCAGGGTGCTCACTCTCTCCAGCGCGTGTGCCGTGTCCCCGGTGACTTGGAATAGCAGGAAGCACTCGGTTTGTCCGGAGCGGTTCTCCAGATAGAACTGGGGAGAAAGAATGGAAAGTGAAACTCTCAAGGTCTGCCTCTCGCAGAGCCTCAGGAGGAATGGCGCCAAGTCCGCGGCGCTATTCCTAACCCTAAAGGGCTTGTCTTGGTGACAGCAGGGCTCTGGAGGAAACCTGTGGAGACAGATCTGCTCAGGCTTATCACATGCAGACAGGAATCTCAAGGACCTACAAACACAAGATTGCATCAAGTTGGATAGCAAGGCGACTGGGCCGCGCATGCCTGGCAGAGTAGCTGGGGATGGGTCAAGTCAGCACAAGACTCTACACAAGCCCCAAGACATTCATTCCGGGCTTTGATGCAAAAGGAAAAGCACTGTGTGGTCTTGGATTGCTTTTAAGTAGGGCTGTGTTGATCAAAGATCCTTATCTTCCCTTCTCTCCCGGAAGGCAACGTCATCAGGAAAAGCAAAGCTCCCAGGCTGTGCCAGAGAAAAGTGTCCTTGGCTTCCCCAAGCCTCACCAAGATGCGAGACCGAGTGACTCTGTCCTTAACCACATGCCTTTGTGGCTACAGTTCTGCTTAAGCACAGATTCAGGCTTGAAACTGATTCACTGATAAAAAGGCTGCCATCCAAAACTGTCATTTCACACAAGTCAGCGAGTGCAGAGGGACTTTTCCGTCCAGGAAGAGGTGTAGGTTTCTGGTACTGTTTTTGGACAAATCATCCCACTGTAGTTTTCTATATGCAAAAAGACTCCACAGTTCCAGAATTTTCTCTTGGTACCCTTCCAACTCTAAACTGGGAGAGAACAGATATATAGCCTATGTACCCTACCCAAATAGCATGCACAGTGTTTTATGTGTGTGCTCTTACGGAATTCTCCCAATCTTATTGGGCTGGCACTACCGTAATAGCCAAAGTGAAGGAAATAACACACAAACAGAAAGGTGAAGGAGCTCGTCAGAAATAGTTAGGTCAGCTCCCAGATCAGCTGCGTGGGTGGAATAGGAAGAAAAAGGTGGCAGGAAATGACAAGAAATGACAATCTGGCTTGTTTTATGAGGCAGCTGACTCAGTATCCTATACTTTTTTTCCCTGGCTCTGCTACTTACTAGCCAAGTAAGGTTGTAGAAGTCATGTAACCTTTTCTGAACTCAGTTTTCCCATCTGTACAATGGGAATAATAGCAATAGTCATAGACCTTGTCTCAGTGAGAATATATGACTTTAGAATCTCAGGGTATTGGGCCCAAGAATACTTGTAACAAGCACCCCAGGTAATACTTGTGGCCATTCAATTTGAAGATCACTGGCACAACAGAATATATGAATATTATGATTATGAGAGGTTTTTTGTATAAAATATTATGAAGTAAATCAATAATATCAAAAGTACTCCTGAGAAACAGCTTCTCCTTCCTGCTCAGGAAGGCCTGCACCATGAGCACGGAGAAAGTGCACATTTCTGACTGTCCCACAGGGCAAGGAAACCAGGCAAGAGGCCAGGCTTAGGAGAACTGTTCATTTTTATAAAATTTTAGGGGCTGGCGCTGTGACATAGCCAGCATCCCATATGGGCACTGGTTCTAGTCCCAGCTGCTCCACTTCTGATCCAGCTCTGCTATGGCCTGGGAAAGCAGTAGAAGATGGCCCAAGTCCTTGGGTCCCTGCACCCACATGGGAAACCCAGAAGAAGCTCCTGGCTCCTGGCTTCAGTTCTGCACAGCTCTGGCCATTGTAATCATATGGGGAATGAACCAGCGGATGGAAGATTCTCTCTCTCTCTCTCTGCTTCTGCCACTCTGTAACTCTGCCTTTCAAATAAAAATAATAAAAATAATAAAATTAATTTATTTGAGAGGCAGGAAGAGACGGCTCATCCAAATGACTGCAATAGCTGGGCTCCAAATCGAGGTCTCCCATGTGGGTGGCAGAAACCCAACTAGTTGTGCCATTATTGCGGGAAGCTGGAGTCCCGAAGCCAGAGCTGGGAATCAGGTGTCTTAATCTGTAGGCTAAAAAAACAAACAAACAAAAAAAACTTGCTCCTGAGGGGAGAATTTTTAAGACACCCTCTTAAAGTTATTAAATGATACATAGAGAAATAAACTGTTATTTTTTAATAGTTCAAACACAAAAATTTCTGACCAGAGTATTCTTTTTTTTTCTTTTCTTTTTTTTTAGATTTATTTATTTATTTGTTAGTTACTCAGAGAGGAGGAGAGGCAGAGAGAGAGAGAGAGAGAGGTCTTCCATCCGATGGTTCACTCCCCAATTGGCCAGAGCTGCGCCGATCTGAAGCCAGGAGCTTCTTCCGGGTCTCCTACGCAGGTGCAGGGACCCAAGGACTTGGGCCATCTTCCACTGCTTTCCCAGGCCACAGCAGAGAGCTGGATTGGAAGTGGAGCAGCCAGGTCTTGAACTGGTGCCCATATGGGATGCCGGTGCTTCAGGCCAGAGCGTTAACCCGCTGCACCACAGTGCTGGCCCTGTTTGTTTTTTTAAATAAGCATTACCAAATTGTATAACAATTTAAAGGTTGTCTCTATTTTCCCATAATTTCCAAGTTTTGGTGCCTTACAATCTCTTGAAAAGTGAAAGTGTTAAGTAGGAAAGTTAGATATGAGCTTATGTGTGTGTGGCAGGCCATATGTCCAGCATATGCGCCTACCTCTCAAAGTCCTCCTGACAATGTTTCAGGGGCAGCCGGGTATTCGCATCCTGCCCTGCCCCCTTCTACCTGGTAACCTGCCAGGTGGGGAGTCCCCACCCCTTCTGCCTGACAAATCTTCCACAGTCTCCTGGTGCAGCCCAGGATCGGCATTTCAAACACCTCTAGGGGGTCCTGCCCACCTTCCTCCGGTTTGATAACATTTGCATCCAGAGAGTCCTTTGTTTCAGGAGGAGGGAAAACTCAGGGAGGAGCTTCTTAACATTTGCATCCATAAAGTCCTTTATTTCAGACCTTCAAGGGAAAACTCAAAAGTTTTTCTATTTACATCCAAAAAGCCCTTTGTTCCAAGAGGAGCAGAGGTGGGGAAGCAAGACCCATCTCCTTAAAAACCCCTGGCATCAACCGGACTGCGCGCTCAGCCCTCTGCCTCTCGGCTGAGCCACCCGCCTGGTCTGGCCAGGTGTACTCTCTTCACTCAACCCCACCCCTCAGTCCGAGCGACTGCACTCTCTCCCAGGTCCTGTCTGGAGAGGTGCCCATCCGTCCTTACGGATGTCCCTTCCCTAATAAACCTCGCTATTTTACTTTCCACTACTCTGTCTCACGCCTGAATTCTTTCTTGCGCGAAGACAGAACCCTGCATTTCTCCGGTAACAAAAGCAATATGAAATAACATTTAGTTGCATCTAGGGGTTATTAACGTTGGTAAATAAAGCTGAAGCCGACTCATAGCACTTACATTTTTGGTCTGGTAGAGGAGCCAGGTTGTTCCGAGTGAAGGGAAGCTCCCTGATTTTGGGTCGGTTTGGGGAGAGATGCTGAAAATTTTGTCCTGAGAAAAGGACATGTTTTCGTCATTTATTTGAGACTCACACAAGAGCAAACCATAACATGCAATGGATAACAGAATCATACAGATTTTTAGGACGGAATTTAAGGTGTTAACAATAGCAACGATTTTTACTGCTATAAATGAAAAGGACAAGGTACCAGAAATCGCTTGTGAACAAACCAGTTTCAATAAAATGTTATAGTTTGTCATGTCATAAAAGTTGGAGAGATAGAATATACATATTCACCAAATCTGATGAATGAACGGAGCGTGAATAGGAGCTCTCTGTCTAGAGCAGTGTTCCTGAATCCTAAATCCCAGAGGAGTTATCTGAGCTTTCAGGTAATTGCTTCTGCCCTGCGCACACCCTGCTCAATGGATCAGAATCTCCAGGGGGCAGGGTGAGGCGCACAACTGTATCTGCTCCCTGGTCGTTCACTAGCGCAGTCCGGTTAGACGCTGACTGCCCGGCCTCAGGTGAAATCCTGTATGCACTGTAAGCAGTGGTGTCCTCCAGCTGGGCCTGCTCTTGAGAGCTGAAGATCCCATTTAGGGAATTTCGTGAGCTGGTTGGCGTCACTCTGGTGTTCTGCATTGCCCGCGGTGGAAGCGTTTATACCATGGAAATCAGCAAGCACTAATTTTACTCAAGCATTCATCAACACACTACCGATTACAGGAGATGCATGTTTCAGATCTCTGAAGATAGGAGGGAGGACAGGAAGGTGATTTAAGTCCATTTCACGGGTTGGCTGAATGACATAATGAGTAGGAGTCTGGGTCCTTGCTTCTCTGCTTCCCCCTTTTTCAGCTGTATGACCTTGGACAAATGATAGCACCTCTCTAAGCCTCAATACCTTCCTATATAAAAAGGTGAAAATAATTCAGCCTTTTCCAGTTATGAAGAAGATTAAGTTGGAGGATGAGTGGAAAGCATTTAACTTATAGGGCGAAGCACTCAATAAACATTCGCAAAAAAGAGACTTTAATTTTTTGCCTGATGGTCTCCTGAGAAGGTGTTCAAGTCACTACAGCAATTCTCATGGATTTTAAGAGACTTTGCTTTGGACAATGCAGTCCTTAGCGCAATGGGTTGGGGGAGGCAAAAATCAATGAGCCAGTCAACCAAAGCACTTGCCAAGATCCACCTGGTTTCTATTTAGGTAAATCGAGGGCAGCCATCGAGGCAGTGGTGTTTGATGGGGCTTCAGCAACGTTTGCAGCCTCCCTGGTGGACCTTTCAGCATGTATTTTAACTTCAGGAGCCATTGTTTATAAAGAAAGCATTTCTAGATAGAATTACATGAAAACTCGCAAGAACACTGGAGCAGAAATCCGTAAAAACCAGGAGATGAGATAATGGTAATTGTAGATAATGTTTATTGAACACTTACTGTCGTTAGGGCCTGGGCCAAATGCTGCAGGCATATTCTCATTCAACCCTGAACACCCCCTTCCTTTGTGAGACAGATACTGTTATCTTCCTCCTTTTATAAAGAAGGGTCCTGTGGCTTGGAGGAGTTCTTCAATGTGATAAAGGTCACATGCTGGAAATTTCCAGAGCCTACACTCCAACCCGTGCTACAGTGTCTGACCCACACTATCGTGCTTCCCTAGCAGTCAAAGCAATACTGTTAGATGGGAGAAGTCGGCAGAGAAGGTGGGAAGTGACTTCAGAGATGGCGTGAAGGTTCAAGTTCATTCCAAAGAGGCATTTCCCTTGGTTTGTGAGGAATAGGGTGGAGTTGTGCACAGCCCAAAGCTCTCTTATTTGTGCTGCAGGTACCAATAGGGAGTCTCCAGCCTACAGCGACAGGGTTGGGGACCACTGTCCTAAAATAAAAGGGCAGGAAAGATTTTCATAGTTACATGAAGGAACCAGCGTTCAACAAAAATTAATACCAGTAATGAATAGCGATCTTTGGCAATCATCTATTGGGCACCTGCTGTATTGCAGACTCCAGGGCTCACAGACAGAGAGATGGCAAGGGCTTACAGTGTATGTGGGATGAGAGACAGGAAACTTGCAATTTTAAACTCATGAGTAGTGATGTGGGAGTAGGTGAGGCCATTGAAGAGGACAGAAGCATCCCCAGATGTAGAGCTGCTCTTGAATCACATTGACCTTGCTTACAAGTTGGCTTGGCTGATTCCTCGCTAGCTTGGTGAACTTAAGTTTCCATGTCTTCATCTGCAAAATGGGAATAAAAAGTCCTCTCCTGCATTGTCGTGGAAAGCGAAGTGCACACCAGGTGAGCTACTGAGAAAGACTGAGGGGGATTTCAAGCTAGTTCTTAAAAGATTATAGGAATCGGTCACGCACGCACGTAGCACAGAGAAGCTAAAACAATAACATGGGCAAAGAAGAAGTCAGTGAGAAGGGATCGGGTTTTCAAGGAACTGAAAGAAATTCAAGGAATGGTGAAGGAGAGTGGGGGTGGGGTTGGGCTTTTGAGAGCGAAGACACAGAAGCTGAGAATAGGAAGTGAAGCCAGATCAAGGCCTAAGGGCTTTGGGTTCCCAGTTAAGGAATTTGGCTTTTGAAAGATGCAAAGCCCCTGCTGGGTGTGAGAGAGGAGTCACAGGATGGGACCTATGCAGCCTGTCTGGGAGGGAGGATCGAGTGGAGTGGCTGGGGTACAGGGCCCTCACAAGGGAGGTCCCTCCACAGGCTCATTCACAGCCAAACCATTCAACTGCGGTGCATCCACTACTAAATTTTTGGGCTGGGATTTTTTTTAAAGGTTAATTAAGTTATTTTAAAGGCAGAGTTGCAGAGAGAGAGATCGGGAGAGACAAAGAGATCTTCCATCTGCCTGTTCACTCCCCAAATGGCTGTAATGGCTGGGGCTGAGCCAGGCTAAAACCAAGAGCCTAGAACTCCATCCAGGTCTCCCACGTGGGTGCAGGGGCCCAAGCACTTGGGCCATCTTCCATTGCTTTCCCAGGCACATCAGCAGGGAGCTGGATCAGAAGTGGAGCAGCTGGAAGCTGAATAGGTGCTCATTTGGGACGCAGGTGTTGCAGGCAGAGCTTAACCTTCTGTGCCACAACTCCAGCCCGAGAGCTGAGATGTTGAGCTGAGACATCTGCACACACCTATCTGAATAGCAATTTCTGGAACTGGGAATGGGTGAACTGCAATTTCTGGAATTAAATAATTAAATTCACTAGCTTTTTTTTTTTTTTTTAACATGTCAAGAGTCTTCTCCGTTGCTTGCAGAGACTGCCTGATCCCTTCCTTGTACACTCTTGCTGCACGAATCACAACTTTTTGAGAAACAGATGCAATTAACACCTTCCTTGCAGCTGATGTCATGGAGACAGCCACCATCTTGTAGATCCTCGGAGCACCCATTCAAGGTGACTTGACTTTCTTGTCTCTGGACTGCGATCCCAGTAAGTCCCAAATACCTGTCGTTCTTCCTCATTCTCAACCAGGTTGATTTGATCTTTGAGGACAGGCCACAGAGAGCATTGTTGCTGGGATGGCTGAGAATACTCTGAAGAGGGAAGTTCTCTCTTAAAGGGGAAAGGAAGTGAGCACTTTTTTTTTCTCTTGCGACGGCTTATAAATAACCAGGCTAGCAGAAAACACCACAAGGCTTTCTGTTCCATTTTCTCTGAAAGCTTGCTTGCAATGAATTAAGCTGATGTGCTCCAGATTCCAACTCATTAGGATAAGTGCCTCATTCCCCATCGCTCTACATCTAGCCCACTGACAGGTCTCAATAAATGTTAAGCAGTAATCATTACAGCCAAATGCTCAGGGAGTGTTGCTGATGTCAGCAGAGGATAGCGGATGCCCGGAATTCAGACAGTAGTGCTGCGAGCCAATATCATTTCTACTCAACGTGGGGCAGGAAAAGAGAAAATCCAAAGAGAAAGGGACTTTCCAAGTTCAGGGCAGTAGCACAGAGGTGTGATTTATAGTATCCAATTGCTTTCCTACTTTAAGCTTTCACAGGAAAGTTACGTATGCTCAGTGGAGACATCCCCTAGGTTTAACCATCTTAGACCAGCAATCTAAACCAAATAAGCGAAAGGTTTCAAGTGCAGTGAAGTAGTTCCAAAACAGCATATCAAATTGGGTTAAAAATGTCACAAATAAAGATCGTAAGGCAGAGACATGTTTTTATTTGGGGGGGGGAGAATGTAATTTATAAGAAAACGGCATCGTAGACAACTGGCAATCATATTGACAAATAGGACTTAGAGATTTTTAAAGAAAGAAACCTGTTGTCATGGTGATGGCTTCCTATCGAGGAAATCTGGGTTCAAGTTCTGAATAGTCACTAATTACCTGTAAGACTAGGCAAATCAGTTAGCTTTTCCAGCCCCAAAGAATTGTAACTGGAAAGGGCCCCATCAGACAATAGGGTCCCAGTCCCTGGAGGCACAGTGTAAGGACATTGTGGCCCACACAGACCTGTTTCTTGCTTTGTCTTTCAGAGTTCATTCGGGGAGACAGGGAGCTCTCTAGGTCACTCCTGCAGAGGGAACTCCATGCAGAAACCTGGTTTTACAGGTGATGGAAAATCTGAGAACTCAAAGAAAGCGCAAGGTGAATGAACGATCCAGAGAGGATCCATGGCCCACAGAGGCAGCCACCCCTAGGCTGGGAAGATAATGGGAGGAACTGGCATTGCCAAAGCCCAGACACCGATGGAAGCCAGTGCCACAGAGGGAGGGGCTGTGTGGAGGGCGCTGGGAGGAGACAGAGCCTGTTACCGATGCCATAGGAAGGACTGCTCTTTTCCCCCTTTGTCCAGCTTCTAAACTTCTGTCCCCTACTAGCCAAAAGGCACGCGGCAAGGGAGCCTGGGAAGTGTAGTTCTCAGCTAGAGTGGAGCCTGGGAGGAGAGGCAGCCGATCGACACATTTAAACTTTCTTTAAAGTAAAGGCCGCCTGCAGATTTTTCTCTATGATACAGTGATTAGCCTATGATCAGACAATAGGAAAAAAATGTGTGTGCACAGGAGTAAATAATACTATGTGTAGGTCACTGTCCTTTCAACTCCTTTGATGTTAACAGTTATGTGCAACCCTATGAGTTAGGTATTTCATCCCATTTTTTTTTTTTTCCAAGATGAGGCTCCAAGAGATGAAGTGACTGTGAGGAAGTAGCAGAGCCAGATTTCAATCCAGACAGTACAACTTTAGAATCCCTCACTTAACTGCTGATGCACACTATGTCGTGACAAATTATACGATAAACACTCAATCATCATTTAATGAGTGGTTGTCAGACAAAGGTCTTTCCATCTGAAAATCTATTCAATTTGTATCTAAACATGAGAATAATGTCAACTAAAAGTCATTTTAGAAAATCTATATCCCTTAACCATCATTATAGGCTGATGAGTCATGGGAGATTTATTCTGTCATGACTCAGTTGTCTAGTATGGCTCCTACTTTAATAAGCACTCAAAAACATTAATTGAATGAAAAAAATGCTTTGGCATAGGCATAGCTAATTTCTCAAGATTTTCTTGGCGAGTTTCCCTTCTTTTTTGCTGTTTGGTTGGGTACTGAACAAATCCCCAAACCACATTTATAGTCTTTCCTTTTATTTCCAATAATGCAGACATTTTTGGAAGGCACCTGTGGCAGACTCTACTTGCTCTTTACTATCTACTTTCTCTTCTCCCTTGGAAACAGAAATCCAACTTTGGGTGGACAGCAATGTGCCTGCCTAAAACACTTTAATTCCCAAGCTTTTTCAAGGATAGGATTAACGTGTGGGACAAGGGCAGATGACTTAACGGGAGCAGATTCTACTGTCTACTTCCTTTTTCCCATTCTACCAGCCACTGAATGTGAAGTGCCCTGGAGGATTGAAGGCACGTGTTGGGCTGTGGCGCACACAGGTGGGAGGAGCCCATTTCCTTGGTGGTCATGGAGGTACCAAGTGTCTGGGAAGTGCCTACTATAGGATTCTTTCCTAAGAAAGCAATAAACTTCTGTTACTTAAGCCACTGTGGTTTCTATTACAGGCAGTGGAACCCAATCCTAACCGATACAAAAGAGACATCCCAAGGTTATCCTTGGTAGAGAAGAAGAACAATGTTTTCAAATGTTCCAAAGAATTTTCTAGAAAGAAGGCATTTGCTTGGCCAAGACAGGACTAACTGCAGAGCAAGCTGAATTGAGGCCTTGGAGACCACGAATCTGTCAAAAGGTGGCAGACCCGTGTGTTGCCTTCCTTAGGCTCCTGTAGGAGAAATGCAGACATTAGTAGCCAAATGCTCCCGTGGCGCTTTCTTCAGATACCAGGAAATAGCCTCAGTGTGCTTATCCGTTTTTATCCCGAGCTTCCCAGCTGTCACTGCCCACCAGCAGAGCCATATCCTGCCTGGAGGGCTTCAGGCAACAGCGCATGTCAGTGAGAGCAGAGAGCATCCCAAACCTGAAAGACCGCTCTGCCTTCTGAAAGATTTGTGCCTCTTTCCCACTTGTTGAAAACCACACTGCCCTCCTGGGTCTTGCATTTTGCCTACTTTTGATAGAAATGAAGACTGAAGAAATATATATTTCTTCTCTTTATCCTACCAAAAGCAAAAACAGCAACGGAGACAGTGGTTAGGGAGATCTGATTCTGCGCAGTGCGATGCCAAGAAGTGGTGTGGACTCCATGAACCTGGGCTCTGTGGCTTCCGCCTGGTGTCTAGCAGGACAGCAGCTACTCGGATCCAGCCCATTCATGCCTCATGGGTTTTTGGGTTTGATGCTCCCAGATTTTTCAATTTCTGAAGAGCTGCTAATATTTTAGATTTTTACAAAAAAGGTTGTGATTTTTAAATGCCGCCAATCCACCTACAAACAAACAAAGGTAATGTGGTCCTGAACGTATGCATGCTGGGAGCTGTATTTCAGTCTCTGCTTTAGAGCAATGATTCTTAACCTTTGGCGTGCATCGGAATGATCCAAGGGCTGTTCAGGAAAAATAAACTCTTTAGTGGGACAACTGCTTATAAATGGGTGGGTGGGGAATCTATACGTATTTCATGTATATAAATGCAGATAGGGATATATTGTGTAAAACATCTCTGAAAGGATTAGAAACAGACACGAACGACGCTGGTGGCTTTGGGTGAGGGAGGCTGGGTAGGTGGGGAACAGACAAGGCAGGAGGGAGACTCACCATGTAACCCTTTTGCTTAGGCTGTTGAGACTTGAGACATCTTTCCACATAGACACAAACACCACGTTCCCATCTCCCCTCCTCCCTCCTCGGGAGATGTAGGGTAGAGATTGAATGCCTGCTTTCAAAATAGATAATCACCGGGAAAAATCATTCCCGTGGGTGATTTCGACGCTGTTAAGAATCGGCGCCCCTGGGAATACTAGCATTCCTGCTGCAGGCCAGCAGACGGCCCAGGTTTTTGCTAGAAGGATGAGAAAGCACATTCTTTCACTTGATGACTGCTCTTGGGGTGGGCAAAGAGAATACTTCCGGAGTTTGGAAATTTCCTTGGGGAAAAGGAGGCCCCAATCCCCCCCTGTGACTCTCACCTTGCCCTCCGGGCTGCTGTGCCTCAAGCTCCCAGCCTAGAATGGCAGGAATCATCTCCTGTTGCAGAGCCTGCGGGGATGGAGGGGAGTGGAGGAGGGGAGACCGCGGACATTACCTGCTGTCGGACTGGGTCGATGCGGAAGATGTGGTGGCCCCGAGACCTCCTGGTGACCAGGCCGGGCTGTGAGCAGTCTGTCTAGCAGCTTATCTGAAGAAGACAAGGTCCAAGCTTTGCAGGAGGACGCCTGATTAGAATCACCACCCCACGGGCCATCCTGCACCGCCTGGCAGCCGGTTCTGTTATTCAGCAGGTCCTGTTCGCTTCGGCTTTTCTGAGATCGCTGGGCCATCGGCTGAGTGCCTGGGCTCAGGCCAGTGTGGGAAGTGGCCCCATGGGAGGCAGTCAGGAAGTTATTGCCCAGGGTGATGGGTGGGAGACTCTGTGTTCTGATTGGTGGCAGCCCCTTGCAGGCCAGAGGTTTCTTTTCCGGCAAGAGATATTTTGAATTCTCAGAGGTCCTCTTCTTAAAGTCGACCACAGCCACCTGGTCGCCAGACTGCCCTGGGCAGTTGGTATCCACGATGCTGTCGAAGGTGGTGATGATGTCATCGACTTCCGAGGAGTCCTCTCCCCTGTGCCGGTCCCGGCCCTGCTCCTTCGGGGGAGCTCTGTGCTCTTCTTTCTTGTTTTTGCAGAAGATTTGGTTGAGCACGCCGAGACGTCCCTCCTTCTTCTGCGGCCTGCTGTTCTGGGGGGGCAGGGGTTGAGGGGGCTCTGCTCTGTGGGAACAGAAAAGCACAAGAGGAGTACGTGAGGATGGGAAGTGGAGCCCACAGCACGGACCAAAAGAGCAGCCCCACCCCCCAGTTCCAGCCGCTTGATGGCCGGGTCTGAGGTCCAGCAGGCATGCTCCCGAAGCCCGCTCACATCCGAGGTCCCAGAATTCCCAGCGCCCGTCGCTCTCCTCCCCCAGAAGTGCTTCCGTACCATGGTCCGTTCTCTGCTCTGCTACCACATTGCTTAGATTCTTCCTGCTCCCTCGGGGACCTCCCCCCCCCCCTTTCAAAATGTGCCCCTAGATCATCTATTTTCATCAAGGGATAAACTAGGCTGAAACTAGCTTAAAGTGTTACTGTTCTGTCTTCTGCAGGACTGGCCATGCAAGTGCGTGCTTTGAGTAGAGAGATATGGAAGACTTAGGAGGTGGGGAGAGTGTGGCTTAAAGCTTTCTCTGCAAGTGACCCCGCGAATCTGGTCAGAGCACACACGAGCAGCATCCAATCTCGGCTGGGCTTTTTTCTTTCTTTCTTTTACTGTTTATGAGTTGTTTTTTTTTTTCTTCAGTTTTTTACTCAATTTCCTGTTGAAAAATACTTTTTTAAGCAGTCTACTAAAGGAAATCAAGGAAAGAGGCTTTGGGGTGGGCCCTGGCAGAGAAGAGGAAGTGTGCACGCCAGAGGCTGGGTGTGGCCACGGAAGACAAGCGAGCAATGCCCAGCGGGCAGGCAGATTCTACAGGAAGGAGGCTGGCCGGGGCAGGCTGGCTCTGCTTAGGTGGAGAGTTTTCCTGAGGCCCTATTCTGCTTTTGTTCCTTGGAAAATTCTGTTATTCTCTTTTGAAGCCACAGTGGACTTAAAGCTTTCTGCGGTATGAATTAACACTGAAACCTGACCCGTGTGCAGGCCCCAAAGAGTCAGATTGCAACATGACGCTGGAGAGTGACATATAATCTGTGATTTGAAAAACACCACTGCTTATTTTGGATGCATATAATGAATGTCTTGTCTGCAGGTCGCACGGTGCATAAATGAACCTTTATTTACATGGTGTATTTTTATCTTTTCATTCTTTGACCTTCCAACAGACTTTGAAAAATTCTTTTAAATTTACTCAGTTTTGTTTCATTTGAGAGAGAGAGAGAGAGAGAAAGAGAGAGAGAGAGAAAGAGAGATAGATCAATCTTCCATCTGCGGGTTCATTCCCCAAATGCCCACAACTAGCCATGGCTGAATATGTTGAAGCCAGGGGCCAGGAACTCCATCTTGCTCTCCCACTTGGGTGGCAGGAACCCAAGTACTGAAACCATCATATGTTGCCTCAAAGGGTGCACATTAGTGGGAAACTAGATCAGAAATGCAGTAGCTGGGGTCGTAGGAGGTGTGTGTGTGTTTGGGGACGGGCAGCATTGTGGCACAGCAGGTAAAGCTGCCACCTCCAATGCCAGCATCCTGTATGGGTGCCTTTGCAGCTCTGTGGCACCACTTTTGATCCAGCTCCCTGCTAATGCACCTGGGACAGCAGCAGAAAATGGTCCAGGTACTTGGGCCCCTGCCACCCAGGAGGGAGACCCAGAAGGAGTACCAGCCTCCTAGCATCAACCTGGTCCAGCCCTGGCTGTTGTGGCCATTTGGGGAGTGAGCCAGCAGATGGAAGATCTCTGTCTCTTCCCTCTTTCTAACTCTGCCTTTCAAATAACTAATTAACCAACTAAACAACGAAATAGATCTTAAAGGAAGGGAAGAAAGAAGGAAGGAAGGGAGTGGTGTAGCTGGATTCAAACCAGGCACCTGGCATGGGTTGCGGGGCATCTCAAGTGGTGAATTACTGTCCACGCCAGATGCCAGCCTCCCTGCCCCACAGGCTTTTAGAAATATGGACACTGCTTCTGGACTTCTGATACTACTAGGGAGAACCCCAGGGAGTCCCTGTCATGCTGTCTGCTTTCCCTACAGAATGTGCCCTGTGTGGATTAACGCTATCCTGGTATCTTCCACAGTCCATCTGTTCCTTCAGTCACAGGCTGTGATACAGGCCAGTGGGTCTCTAAGTGGGGCCCCCGAGATGCCTCCAGGGATTTCGTGAGGTTAAAGCTGTATTCATAATAATGCTAAGAAGTCACTTGTCTTTTTCCCTGTGCCACGTCTGCACTGATGGAGCAATGGAGGCAGTGCGTACAACCGTGGGCCCCTTAGCGCACATCAGGACAACACAGGCAACAGTGCAGTTGTAGTTAAAAAAAAAAAAGTCATTTACACGGCCAGTGCTGTGGTGTAGTGGGTAAGGCTGCTCTCTGATGCTGGCATCCTGATGGATGCTGGTTTGTGTCGCGGCTGCTCCACTTTCTATCCAGCTTCCTGATAACGGCCTGGGAAAGCAGCAAAGGATGGCCCACGTGCTTGGGCTCCTGCACCCACATAGGTGATCTCTAAGAAGCTCTGAGCTCCTGGCTTCAGCCTAGACCAGGCCTGGCTGTTGCGGCCATTTGGGGGTTGATCCAGCAGATGGAAGAACTGTCTGTCTCTCTGTTCCTCCCTCTTGCTGTAACTCTGCCTTTCAAATAAATAATTTTTTTAAAGATTTATTTATTTATTTGAAAGAGTTACACACACACATACACACACACACACACATACACAAAGAGAGAGAGAGAGAGAGAGAGAGAAAAGTCTTCTATCTGCTGGTTCACTCCCCAGTTTGCCGCACCAGCAGGAGCTGCGCCAATCCGAAGCCAGGAGCCAGGAGCTTCTTCCAGGTCTCCCACATGGGTGCAGGGGCCCAAGAACTTGGACCATGTTCTACAGCTTTCCCAGACCATAGCAGAGAGCTGGATTGGAAGTGGAGCAGCCGGGACTCGAACTGGCGTCCATATGGGATGCCAGCACTGCCAACTGCAGCTTCACCCACTATGCCACAGCGCTGGCCCCTAAATAATTTTTTTAAAAAAGGTTATTTAACTTGGTAATGTCCTTGTTAAGGCAACAAGAATTATGAATTTGGTTAAATACATATGCATTTTTTCCGTTTTAAGCAGTTCTGCCCCATACTGAGATATGATGACTACCCTGTGGTAAGGCACTTGGGCAATTGTTTGAATTGCCAGTTGAACTTGACCCTCTTGTGATGGAACATTTTTATGACTTACAGATAGACTGTGATTACACAGGATTAGATATCTGTAGACATTTTCTCAAAAATAAAGTGAAATGCACAGAAACAGAGTAGAATGGCGGTTATAGTGGGGAGGGCAGGTGGGGTCTGGGGGATGGAGATGGAGATCAAAGGGCGCAAAGGCGCAGAACTGTAAGTCTAGAGACCCAAAGTCCAGCCTGAGTGCTGTAGCGTGCACAGTGTGCCGAGAGAGCGGATTTCAGGGGTTCTTAGCACACACAGGCAGGCCTAACTCACAAAAACAAATGCGCAGTCATTTTTGAGGATGTGCAATGGTCCTGAGAACACAAAGTTCGAGGAGCACTGATTTAGGCAAAAGGAGGACAACAAGGACAAGGCATACAGGGAAGAGCAGAGGGTGGAAAAGCAAAGAAGTCAAGTTCAGTGACTCCCAGGGTGACGGGTGAGGCCTGCTGCTGTCGTCCCACTCCCCTGGTCAAGGACATTTCACTCTGAAATGCAATAGCAAACATATGAATTGCATAAATTATTGTTATAAATTATGATTAAAACCACTCCTATAATTCTTTTTCTCTTTGTAATTTATATGAATGCATAATTATCTACATCACAGATATGGTAACTATAGAACGATTCAGTGTTGATTACAAAGTTATTGATTTTGCACATAAGCAATTTTAAAAATTTCATGCAAATTGATAGATGCTTGAGAGGAAGATAGAAAATGACGCCTGGTGGCGCCCTCACCTGCTGTCGTGGGAGAGGAGTCTGACGCAGGCCGTGTGGCCGCAGTACAGGGCGTAGGCCAGGGGCGTGCTCTCGTTGATGTCCCGTAGGCTGCTGTCCATGCCCAGCTCCAGCAGAGACTGGACACACTCTGCCTTTCCTGCAGCCGCAGCCCAGTGCAGAGGCGTCCTGGAGAAGCGACATGGGAAAAGCATGCGTGTCCAAGGCCGGCCGTGGGACAGCTCGCGCAGCCAGCCACAGCTCCTGCCAGCTCAGAGCTGGCTCGCGGCAGGACAATCTCCCCGCTATTTACGATACGGAAATGGTGCGTGGCAGACAGGGCTCATGGATGATGGCGTATGAGGGTCTGGGCCTCTCCTCTAGCCCTAAGTATTCCTTTGCTTTCACCTGGCCTGGACTTTCAGAGAATTTCCTGGAAGAAGAAGTAGTAGGTCAAAGGGTATGGTGGGTTATTTAAGCGCCTGTGTGTTCCAGGAGCACTGACTCAATTTCTCCTCCCACCAATTGTGTGCCTGTTGCTTCCCCAATGCTGAGGACTGCCACCATCTTTAAAATATTGTCCTCAGTTTGATTTGCAAAATGATGTCTGGCTGTTATTTTTCTTTTGCATTTCTTTAATAGTAAGTTCGAACTTCGACATGTTTACTTGCCATTTGAGTTTCTCCATTGAAATGACTCATTCCGCCCTTTTCCATTTTCCTATTATGTGTTAGTGTTTTTCTCACTAACTTGAATGAGCTTTCTATATATTAAAAGGAGCAATCTTTTATGGATTCTCTTTATACAAACACTTTTTCCAATTCATTATTTGACTTAATTTTTAGTGATTGTTTCATAAAAAGATTTTTAAAATATTCACATATAATTTCCTCTTCACTTTTTTCCATGTTATGCTTAGAAAATCATTTTTTTAAAAGATGTATTGATTTACTTATTTATTTGAAAGTCAGGGGGCCGACATTGTGGAGTAGCAGGTTAAACTTCCACCTATGACACTGGCATCCCATATGGGTGCTTGTTCAAGACCCACTTGTTCCACTTCTGATCCAGTTCTCTGCTAATGTGCCTAGGAAAACAGCAGAAGATAACCCAAGTGCTTGGGCCCCTGCACCCACTTGGGAGACTGGGAAGAAGCTCCAGGCTCCCAGCTTTGGCCTAGCCCAGCCTGGGCTGTTGCAGCCATTTTGGGAGTGAACCAGCTAATAGTTGGTTCTTTTTCCGTTTCTCTGTCTCTCCTCTCTCTATAACTCTACTTTTCAAATAAATTTAAAACATAAAATAAATCTTTAAAAAGAAAGACAATCAGAGTTACAGAGAGAGGGAGAGACAAAGAGAGAGAGGTCTTCCAAATGGCCACAATGGCCTGGCTGGGCCAGGCTGAAGCCAGGAGCCAGGAATTTCTTCTGAGTCTCCCACGTGGATGGTAGGGGCCCAAGCACTTGGGCCATCTTCTGCTGCTTTCCCAGGCCATAGCAGGGAGCTGGATCAGCAGTGGGGCAGCCAGAATACGAACTGGTACCCATGGGGCTGTACCTGCTACGCCACCACACCAATCCCAGAAAGTCAGTTTTTTTAAAGGCCAGAAGACAGACGAATATTTCCAAGTATTTAAACCTTTACTAAATTATAAAACAGTATTTTCTTAAGAAAATGAAAAAGAAAGAGTTGAACACTGGGAAAAAGTATCTGCAAATCACATGTGCAACAGAAGGCCTATAACAGTTACACAGAAAGCCTGGGCTGGGGTTGTGCTTAAGCTGCCATCTGTGACTCCGTCCTCCCTTCTGGGTGCCGGTTCAAGGCCCGGCTGCTCTACTTGCAACCCAGCTCCCCACTAATGCACCTGGGAAAGCTATCTCTGCTGCTTCCCAAGGCACACTCGAGGGAAGCTGAGTTGGTCATGGAGCCAGGAATTGAACCCAAGTTCTCCAGCGTGGGACATGAGAGTCCTAAGCACTCGGCCAAATACATACCCTACTATTTTTTTTCTCCAAAACTCTGAGTAGAAGTGAGATTTTGCATGATTCATTTAAACAGCGTCTGCTAGTTTCTACCTTCTAGAAGGCAAAGGCTTGGGTTTCTCTTCGATCAAGGACTCTGTGTTTGGCAACTTGTCCCAGGGGGGTTTAAGTGTTCCTGATGTATAGAACACAGTTTCATCTGAAACAGAAGTTTGAGAAGCTGCAGGTTATGCGAAGCAGAGAAAAAGCTTGCTATAGGAATCAGTTACACCTCCGCAGATATTTACCCTAAAGAAATGGGTCTTTTTTTTTTTTTTTTTTTTGACAGGCAGAGTGGACAGTGAGAGAGAGGAAGGTCTTCCTTTGCTTGCCGTTGGTTCACCCTCCAATGGCCGCTGCGGCCGGCGCACTGCGCTGATCTGAAGCCAGGAACCAGGGGCTTCTCCTGGTCTCCCATGGGGGGCGGGGCCCAAGGACCTGGGCCATCCTCCACTGCACTCGTGGCCCACAGCAAGAGAGCTGGCCTGAAGAGGGCAACCGGGACAGAATCCAGGGCCCCAACCGGGCCTAAAACCCGGGGTGCCGGCGCCGCAAGCGGGAGGATTAGCCTAGTGAGCCAGGGGGCCGGCCAAAAAGGGGTCTTTTCTGAGTATGGTTTGACGCCCGCCCTTTGCCTCTTTCTATTAGGGACTGTGGACTTGCCACCAGGAGCCAGAGGAGAGCCTGGAATTGCTGAAGAATGAGCACTCCCAGCTCGAACAATCCTGGAAGAAGGACGGGCCATCCTACGTGTGGTTTATTTGACGTATAAACCACGTTTGGATGATGTACTTATGTTACACTACTTCGCAGTGATTTCTTCCTGGGGGAGGAGAGTGGGGGGAAGGGTACAAAGGGTCAGAGGACATCCCTAAGTGTGGGGGTCTCTCATGAAAAGAATGGCTACTCCTTCTGTCAGTCACTGTGGAAATGGGCCAATCCTGGGGCAAGAAAGGAGGGCGTTGACCGTCTCTCCCCTGTTTTGTGTTGGGCATAAAACCTGGGCAGAAGGGTACTCCTGAAAGAGCCAAGAGGTCCCCCTGGCAGGGAGGCATTTGGTGGGGGGTCAGAGAAGGGCTATCTGATATGTGGGGTCATCTGCGAAGGGGCTGGCACCGGAGTCTTTGGAGAGCATCCAGGTAGACCGTGTGGCCCCAGAGTTCCCACCGTGTCCTCTATCAGTGAGACATCCTCCTCTTCATGTTGTGCTATGGGCAGAAATCTTAGAGCACTACCTAGGGGTGTGTGTGTGTGTGTGTGTGTGTGTGTATTTCAATTCAGCAGTTCATCAGACCATGCGTTTGAATGTGACAGATAAGATTTGCTGTATTCAGTGTGAGAGAGGTCCCCAGACAACATTCGTTTTGAAATGTGATGAGGTCCCAGCAGATTGTGGCCTCCCATTTAGAGACTGCATTGCAATAAATCTAGCAGATGGAGGGCTGGACATTGACCTAGTTGGGCTTACTAACATGCAACAGTTCACTTAGAATCTTCTCGAAACATCCTTCTACACTAGTTGCTAAGACCAACCATTTTAATCCCTCTGACCATCAACATGCAAGAGGTCCAGAAGAATAGGGGGAGACTTCTATTGTTCTGCTTTGAAATGAGGGCAGGGGAGCACAGAGATCACCCCTAATACGCCCAGAGCATCTGTGGCCAATCGGTCACAGTTTCACGTTGATCTAAGCTACAGTTCCTTGCTTCTGTCCATGCTCCAGGACAGTCCAGTGAGCATCACAGACCATTCTCGGCTGTCACAGTAGGGTGAGGAGCGTCAGGGCCCACGAGGAGATAAATTCAGCCAAGACCAGCAGTGGGGTGATGTGGTAGCAGGAGATGATGGGGACAAGATGCAGTGCTCGTTGGGGTATCGGCAGCCAGGGAGTGATTAACAGGCGTGTAGACATTCCGCAGAGAGTTCCCAGAACTATGGAGCGAGGAGAACTTGATAAAAGACTGTCCTCCCTAAAGAGGACTGGGCTGTGGATGAAAGCAAAGTGCGACCTCATAAACGCGTGAAACTTGGGCCATTTAAACTATGCATGCCGCTTCTGGGCCACGCGGTCTGTGCCACTGCTCTTAGGTCAGTTCTACAGCATCTTAAATATCATGGATTTACCACGAGTGTTAACATCTAGGAGGATTCGTTCTGTATCCCCTCCCCACCATCTGCTTATTGTTTATTGCTATTTTATTTTTCTTCCTTTCCACACAAATTTTCTCTAGGAAAAACTTTGTCTAGGAAAGAGAAGGACGAAAGGGAAGGCGCAGAGACTACACATGCTTAAAGTGCTGACGGCCAAGGAAATTCTGAACAACTCAGCCGTAACAGACACTAACTTGTCAACGTGAAGGCACAGGTGCGTGTTGGAAACAAGACGGAGGGCACCACTTGACCAGCACTTGAGGCCCTGGAGGTGAGTGTGCGGGTGGGAGTGGGACTCTCCCCGAGACTGACTTCCCTCTGCGCTCTCCTGGGACCTGTGCTTTTCCTCCTCCACTTAGCTTCCTCTCTTCTTGAGGCCTGTCTTTGGTAAGCATGCGGCATCATAAATGGGAAATGTTTTATTCAGAGTTGGAGTGTTTTTTAAAATGTTATTTATTTGAAAGGCAGAGTTATGACGATGAAGAAGAAGGAGGAGGAGGAAGAAGAAGGAGGATGAGGAAGAGGTGGAGGGGGAGGAATAGGTGAAGGAAGAGGAAGAGAGAGAGAGAGAGAGAGAGAGAGAGAATCTTGCATCTATTGTTTTGCTTTCCAAATGTCCACAATGGTCAGGGCTGTGCCAAGCTGACACCAGGAGTTGGCGCTCAATCAGGTCTCCCAGGTAGATGTCAGGGGCCCAAATCCTAGAGCCATATCCTCTTGCCTCCCAGGATGTGCATTAACAGGAAGCTGGAAATCTATTGGTAACAGAGCCAAGACTCGAACCCAGGTACTTCCATGTGGGATGCAGCTGTCCCACATGGCATCTTTTTTTTTTTTTTTTTGGACAGGCAGAGTGGACAGTGAGAGAGAGATAGAGAGAAAGGTCTTCCTTTTGCCATTGGTTCACCCTCCAATGGCCACCACGGCTGGTGCGCTGCGGCCAGTGCACCGCGCTGATCCGAAGGCAGGAGCCAGGAGCCAGGTGCTTTTTCCTGGTCTCCCATGGGGTGCAGGGCCCAAGCACCTGGGCCATCCTCCACTGCACTCCCTGGCCACAGCAGAGAGCTGGCCTGGAAGAGCTGCAACTGGGACAGAATCCGGCGCCCCGACAGGGACTAGAACCCGGTGTGCTGGCGCCGCAAGGCGAAGGATTAGCCTAGTGAGCCGCAGCGCCGGCCCCCACATGGCATCTTAACCACTGTGCTGAATCCCCCTCTCCCTGCCAGGAAGATCTGGAAGTGGGCAAGGTTTCTTTCAGCCCTCCTTTTGGAAACAAATTCTTTTATTTTTTAATAACTCATTCACCTCATTTCACATCTGCTTCTACTTTCTTACCTGCTCAGGGTCAATGCCTGCTGCTCTTAGGAAAAAGTCTTGTTTCAATGATTTATGCTTTAATTTTCACTAAAGCCATGTTAACCACCTCCGGATTCCAAGAACCATGTGGAACCCCAAAATTCTTTCCCTGTGTTTTAAGAATTTCAGGTATCAACGTGTAGCAGGGATACATAGGTGGCTAATTTTGCACTTTTACTGAAGAGAGTTAATTAAAAAAAGCATAATATGCAAGCCCCACACAGGTGGCCCTCTGTATCCATGAGTTCTGCATCCACAGATTGAACCAAGCATGAATCAAAAAATTTGAGGGACTGGTGCTGTGGTGCAGCAGGTTAAAGCCCCAGCCTGCAGTGCTGGCATCTCATCTCAGTCAGGCTTGAGTCCTGACTGCTCCACTTCAGACCCAGCTCCCTGCTAATGCACCTGGGAAAGCAGTGGAAGATGGCCCGAGTCCTTGAGCCCCTGCACGCATGTGGGAGACCCGGAAGAAGCTCCTGGCTCCTGGCTTTAGACCAGCTCAGCTCTGGCCGTTGTGGCTATTTGGGGTATGAACCAGTGGATATAAGACCTCTCTCTCTCTCTCTCTCTCTCTCTCTCTTTCTCTTTCTACCTTTCTCTGTATTTCTTTCAAATAAATAAAATAAATCTTTAAAAAATAACTGCCTCTGTACTGAACACATCATCATTCCCCAGGCAAGATAGTATAGCAACTATTTGCATAACATTTATACTGATTTAGAAATTATAAGAATTTGGAGATGATTTAAAGTATATGATAGGATATGAATGTTTTATATGTAAACACCATACGATTTCATATAAAGGACTTGATATCTAAGAAGGTGTAGGTGGGGATAGGACAGGGAGTTCCTGGAACCAGTCCCCTCACTCCAGACACTGAGCTATGACTATACTTATTTTCAGTAGTCTTGTTATTATATTTTTCTTATATTTCCATTGACTCAGTGCCTAACCAAAACAAAAGTTAGGCAAACGGCATTGTAGGTGAAAAGCTCTAAGTCTGGAAGAGGAGACAAATCTTCCTTTAGGGGCCAGCATTGTGGTACAGGGCGTTATCTGCCACCTGCAGCACTGGAATCTCATATCTGAGTGCTGGTTGGAGTCCCGGCTGCTCCACTTCTGATTCAGCTCCCTGCTAATGAGCCAGGGAAAGCAGGCGGAGGATGGCCCAAGTGCTTGGGTCCCTGTACCCACGTGGGAGACTTGGATGGAGTTCCAGGCTCCTCGCTTTGGCCTAAACCTGGCTATTGTCATTTGGTGATGGAAGATCTCTCTCTGTCTCTCCCTCTTTCTCTCCCTGTGTGCCAACTTTCAAATGAATAAAGAAATCTTTCTAAAAAATGTTCTTTAGTTGCTAACTATATCTTTTTTTTTAAAGATTTATTTTATTTATTTGAAAGACAGAGCTACAGAGAGAGATAGAGACAGAGAGAGGTCTTCCATCTGCTGGTTCACTCCCCAGATGGCCGCAATGGCTGGAGCTGCGCCGATCTGAAACCAGGAGCCAGAAGCTTCCTCCAGGTCTCCCATGTGGGTACAGGGGGCCCAAGGACTTGGGCCATCCTCCACTGCTTTCCCAGGCCATGACAGAGAGCTGAATTGGAAGAGGAGCAGCTGGGACTAGAACTGGCGCCCATATGGGACAAACAATACATCTTTAGTGATGGAAAGAAAGCACAAGAAGAACTGTTAAGGCCCCGTCTAAATCTTTGAGCCCCATAGTTTCGAATGCTCAGCCTGTGTGATTGTCTTCTCTGGGCAATAAGGTCTTGTTGACTTTACGACATGATCCGGGAATTAAGAAAAAAATGAATATCCACCATGAAGAATAGAAAGGGCACGTAGCTGGCAGCTGATTTTCAGGAAGCCGTGTGAGAACACTGCAGACAGCAAACAGTGGAAAATCTGACAGTGTTGCTCAGTTGCTGCGACTCTCTCCATAACAATGATTTCCCCCTCGCGTCACCAAGATACATCGAGCTATGCTGCTGGTCGTATTACTGGAAGTAAGGAGACAGTTGGATAGGCTAACCCCTGAAGCGTCTGCATTTTGAGACCAACACGTGGAGAAGGGCACTGGCAGGGCCGTGCACTTGCAGGGTTGCCATGGCTACCTGTCATCCACATCCAGGGCCTGCAGGTTGCACTCGGGGACCCTGGCCAGCTCGCTGATAATGTCGCTGAAGCCCGCGGCCGCCGCGATGTGCACACAGGTCCTCCCACTCTCGTCATCGTGGTTGACGATGGACGGGCCCTGGGGGTGGCTCAGAATGATGGAACACAGAATCCTGTTTCCGCTCTGGAAGACAACGGCACAGAAAGCGCATTAGGATCAAATCCACCGTTCCTGCCTGTAAAGCGCAAAGTTTAAAAAGAAAATAAAGCCAAGAGAAAAAGAAAAAAAAAAAAACAAGAAAATACATTTTATACAACGGACTGCAAATATAGTCCCTGCAGTGAGTTTTCCCTTGTGTCAAATCCTGCAGGGATGTTGGGTCTCCCGCCAGAGCTCAAGTGTCTCTCACAGTTAGCAGAGTAAGGGGTGGGGGGATGTAAATGAAGACGGCGTGCAGGTATGATCCACCGACATCAGGGCAGGTGTGGGGCACGGGGCCCCCTCCACGACACCTTGCGCAGCGAGTCTGCTCACTTGGCTCTGGTTTTGCTGTTGAGGCTGACTACAGAGAAACTGAGTCAATGTTAATGAAAACGAGAGATGAGTCCTGGCTTCCTCCTTTCCTCCAGGTGTCTCTCTCCACTGCTCATGGCGATTTTTATTTTAATAAATACCATGGTGATTGGTGTTTAGTGTCCTGTTGGCTTGCGTGGGGTCAGAGGTGGGGTGAGGCCTACCTTGTGATTGGCACATGCTTGACCCTAATCTTCCCTGAGTCTGTGCCCAGCCCTGCCAGGTGCGGAGGGTGGCAACAAAGGGGTGGAGCAGCAGATCCCTGAGACTCTGTCCCAGGGAGCCTGGGAGGTGGAATGGTGAGCGGGGCACTGTGGACCCATCAGACTTCCCTAACAAATCAAATTCAAAGGTAAAGTGAATTTCCAGATGGCAGCCGCAGAATGGTTTGTGGCTGCCCGGATCACAACCCCATAAAGTGGGTCTTTTCCTTCTCTTCCTCACACATCCTCATCCTCCCTCAGTCCTGTGGTCCAACACTGACTTTTCAACAAGCCGAGCTCAGTGGTTTAAGTCCCCTGGCCTGCCCGGCATCAGGAGTCTGCCACACGACCTACACCGAAGCTTCCGGGCCCACTTGATCAACCTTCCAAGGTCCTTTCACCTGACGCCGTGTAAACATACTTGGAAGGGGTGTGGAAGACATTCCCCAAAGTCAGGAGACACTCTTCCTGAAAAGCACTAGTCATCCCGGGAGGCCAGCAGAGGCCAGCAGCCTCAGCTCAGCGGAGCTGCCTTTTTGTTTACAGTTTCCTGGAAGAGCAAAGGAGTTCAGGTTGCCAAGGTGATTCAAAAGGCAAACGCTTGCGCACAGCTTCCCCTCTGCCTGGAAGAGGAAACGTTAAACAGCGATGGCTAAAACAAAGCCCCGCTCTTCTCGCTCTCTTCTTCCTCCGTGCCTGACCCTTGGGAAGTGGACAACTGAGGTCAGGGTGGCTGTCCAGCACCGCACCCCGCAGGGATCCTGCTCGCCCAGGCCCAGGTAGCAGACCTCTTGGGAGCTGTAAAACTGTAGACGGCTTCTCTGAATTGATGAAGAAAGACGCACCCCCCCCCACAAGCTTGACACCTTTCCCCCAAAATACCCTTTCAAAAAAACCCACTTTAAAATGTTCTTTCTAAAAATTTTGAGTGGGCTGCAAGATAGATTGATTGACTGATTGTCCACCTGCTGGTTTATTCCCCAAATGCTGGAACTGGGCCAGGCTGACACTGGGAGCCAGAAAATCAATCCAGGCTTCCCGTGTGGATGGCAGGGATGCAGCTACCAGAGCCATCACCTGTTATCTCCCGGGGCGCACATTCGCAGGAAGCTGGAATCAGTAGCAGAGCCGGGACTTGAACGCTGGCACTCTCGAATGACGTCATCCAAAATAGGATCATAAGCATTAGGCTAAATGCTTGCCCAGCCAATGCCGATTGTTCTGAGTTTGTTGGTTAATTCCTGTGCCTCTCTATCTGGATCTCACTTGTGACATTATCACTTGTGTTCTTCTTCTTCTAAATAAGATACAGCTGGGAATAAGGGAGATAGTTACAATGCCGAGTAAAAGATCTGTGTCCCGTGCCTTTCTAAGCTGTTCCATGTAATAACAGTCCTGACAACAATCTCACACGTAGGCACTATTATTGCCCCTGTATTGTAGAGGTTAGAAAATGCAGACACAGAGGGACTAAGTAACCTGCTCAAGGTCACTGCTAATAATGAGCAGAGCCAGGCTCCACAGTTCCTGTATGCATAGTCCTTGTCTTTACCACTTTGGTCAATGGAGTGGTCTGTGTATTTGCCACCTATGTGCTCATGCTGGGGGAATTCAAGTGAACACTGTTGTTCTAGACCTGTGATCTCCATGACTGTGTTGCTTGCTTTGCAAACTCAGGCAGTCTTTATTTATTTTTAAATGCACTATTTTCTTTTTTTCTAAAGATTTATTTGTTATTTGAAAGGCAGAGTTACAGAGAGGCAGAGAGAGAGAGAGAGAGAGAAAGAGAGAGAGCCGGGCCAATCTGAAGGCCAGGAGCCAGGAGACTGTTCTGGGTCTCCCACACAGGTGCAGGGGCCCAAGAACTTGGGCCATCTTCTACTGCTTCCCCAGGCCACAGCAGAGAGCTGGATCAGAAGTGGGACAGCTGGGATTTGAACCAGCACACATATGAGATGCTGGCACTGCAGGCAGTGGCTTTACTGGCTACACCACAGCACCAGCTTCTCAGGCAGTCTTTAGAGTTACATATTAGGTACCTTATTTAAAATTTAAAATTTTTTTAAAAACAATTTAAAATTAAAAAGTTTTTATTTTTTAAGGTTTATTTATTTCTTTGAAAGGCAGAGTTATATATAGAGATGGAGAAAAGTGAGGAGAGAGAGGGAGAGAGAGATTGAACAATCTTCCATCTAGTGCTTCACTTCCCAAATAGCTGTAATGGCCTGGCCAGGCTGCACCCAGGAGCCTGGGACTCTACCCAGGTCTCCCACGTGGGTGACGGGGGATGAAGTACTTGGGCCATCTTCTGCTACTTTCTCAGGAGCATTAGTGGGGAACTGGAATGGAAGTGGAGTTGCAGGGATTCAAACTGGCACCCATGTGGGATGCCATTGTTACGGGCAGTGGTTTAACCCACCAAGCCACAATGCTGCTCCATAGTTTATTTTTGATCTATCTGAAAGACAGAATTACACACACATACACACACACACACAGAATGAGAGAGCGAGTGAGTGAGAGAGAGAGAGAGGGGAGTGCACATAATTGATCTGTTGGTTTACTCTCCAAATGCCTACAACAACCAGGGCTGGGCCAGGCCACAGCAAGGAGCCCAGAACTCCATCCGGGTTTCCCACATGGGTGCCAGGGGCCCAAGCCTCGGGCCATCTTTCACTGCCTTCCCAGGTGCATTAGCAGGGAGCTGGATTGAAAGTGGAGCAGTTGGAACTGGAACTGGTGCTCCTGTATGGACTGTAGTGTCCCGCACGGCAGCCTCACCGCCAGTGCCATGAGGCCTGTCCTGGAATTAGGGACTTTAAAAGTGTCCCCAAGGTAGCCGGCGCCGCGGCTCACTAGGCTAATCCTCCACCTTGCGGCGCCAGCACACCGGGTTCTAGTCCCTGTCGGGGCGCCAGATTCTGTCCGGGTTGCCCCTCTTCCAGGCCAGCTCTCTGCTGTGGCCCAGGAGTGCAGTGGAGGATGGCCCAAGTGCTTGGGCCCTGCACCCCATGGGAGACCAGCAGAAGTACCTGGCTCCTGTCATCAGATAAGCGTGGTGCACCAGCCACAGCGCACCGGCCGCGGCAGCCATTGGAGGGTGAACCAAGGGCAAAGGAAGACCTTTCTCTCTGTCTCTCTCTCTCACTGTCCACTCTGCCCCAAGGAAGGCTGCTGTGGAGCATGCTCATGAGAATCTGGGGGAACCCCACAGAGCCCTGGCCAGTGATCTCCTGGTGACAACGTCCCTTCCTAGCAGTTGGGCCTGAGAGAGGCTCACAGCTGGGAGGCCAGGGGCGGGTCACAGAAACCAGCGAGCCCCGGCAGGGAAGACCTGGGCTTGTTGTCCAGATGGGACCCGGGAAGAATGGAGCGTGGGGCTGCGCTTGGTGGGAAGGCCAGGAACAGGGAGCTCCAGAATCCTGCGGCTGCTGGATGAGGACTTCGGACTTACTTGTTCTTGCAGGAGGTATTTGTTTAGCGTTCGTTCGCAGGTAATCGGTAACTCCTGCCCGTGTTCTCTGAAAGCTGTCAGCAACTGAGTTCTGCTTGTTTTCTCACGAGGAGGAGAGCCGGGAAGCCTGACTCATAGAAAGCCTTGCCAAGAGTGGAGCTGAATTAATGTGTAATAACGGAGCTGCAGGCACTTGATCAAAACGAGACTCCAATATCCGGGTTACGAACGCAATTTCTTCTAAGTGACCTTTGAGGGAGTCTGGCGGGAGGGGCAGGTCTAGTTGGTTTACTGTTGACATGTCTGGGGCGTTACTTCTGTGGTGGCTTCTTAGAGGAACTCCAGTCTCCTTCCTTCTCTTGAATGCCAAGCTATGTTTGCAGTATGCTGTGGTTTGAGTAGATGTCCCCCAGAATCGGGGGTTTGGTCTCCAAAGACTTATTTAATGGCACTAAGATCACGGAAACTTAATGCAATTATACTGGTTAGAGATGTGATTAGATTGGATTGAGTCATTGGGGGTGGACTCCCCACGATTGAATCCTGATGGCTTTCCAAGGAAAGGGAGAGAGACAACATATATAGAGACCTATAGGCAGAAACTTACACTCCCTGCCTCTGGCCATGTGATCCTCTGTGGCATCTTGAGACTTGGCCAGCAAGAATGTCATCAGCAGACACCAAAGCAATGGTGCCTACCTAATCTTGGACTTGAACCTCTAGAACTTAAACAAAAATAAATCTCTTTTCTGTATTTTCTACTTGTTGGAGAGGTAGCCAGAGCCCACTCTTCTGCTGGTTGACTCTCTGAGAGCTTGCCATAGCTGAGGCTGGGTCAGGCGGAAGCCAGGACCTGGGAACTCATTCCAGGCTTCCCATGTGGGTGTCAGGAACTCAAACTCTTAACCCATCACTGCTGCCTCCCAGGGTGTGCATTGGCAGGAAGCTGGAAT